GACATGAAATTTAGCACAGAGGCTGTGCTGGTGTCACTATTGGACTTTTTGGTCTTCCTTTGAAAAACCACACATCTGGGCATGTGTTGAACCTTTGAAAAGATTGAACTTACATACGCTTGCCAGACTTGCTTAGTAGCCAAAATTTTCAGCTTTCTCTCCATCACACATGCTGCAGAGAGTGAGCTGGATGGTCCCTGCAGTAGGTAGTCGATTGCCAGGCTGCCACACAACTGAAACTGAAACAGGGTAGGTTATTTCTCCTCTGGTTTCAGGACTCCTAGGATTTTCACTCCATCAGCACAGAATAAAGTACCATCTAGTTCAAATGGAGAGGAAGCAAAGATGGATTTGGTTGAGAAAGGAAGATGCAAGTTGTCAGAGAGAAAGGAATATAGTAAAGAGTCTGAGATCAGATGAAATGAAAAGAGATGAGGTGTGAATAAAAAACAAGGCTGGGTGAACAGAGCAGGATGATTCAGACAGGGTCTTCCCAGCAAAGAGGAATTGCCCAAGGACAAGCAGTCCCAGCTTGATTTTCTTGATTTCTATCAATTTCTTGAAGGTCAGACAGCTGAGAGGTCAACAGGCTGTATCTTCTGGAACAAGAAAAAAACCCAGCCAGCCCCCAGGCTACTGTTTTGCTAAGATTCCCTTCCCCTCCCCCCCTCACCAAAATACACGAGGTCCAGCAGTTTGGAGCCCTGAGCCCTTGGGCCAAATCAGAGCTTGAGCATCTACTCAGGAACAGACGATGGCTGAAGAAACTCTCAGCCACGGGGGAGGGGAGTCCACGCCGACCAGCACACTAGCAGACGACGCTCCACTGTACTCTGCTTAGTCCAGCCTGACCCGGAAGAGGGGCTGCGGCCAGTCCCCCAGCGGCTCCAGACTGGTGGTGAGGGGTGGGAGGCAGCCCAGGCCCCCAGCGGTGCTTTCCAGCCGCCCGGTCCGCCAGCTCTGCGGCGCCGCAGTCACACGCCAGCACCGTCACGGCACACGCAGCTCTCGGCCCCCAGCCCGCCCCCACTACGAGGCTGACGGCAGGAACCCCGCCCCGGCCTGGGAAGCCTGGGCCGCAGCTCCCCACGCTGCGGAAAGAGCACGCAGCCCCCACAACCACGCTGCTGTGGGCGGGTGGAGGGACAAAGCTGCAGCTCGTCTGAGTGGCCCTGTGGGAGGAGATGCCTGTTTTCACAGGAGACGGTGTGCCAGTATTTAAACAGGAGGCTCAGACCCGGGTGCCCCCTACAGCCGTTTGGTCTCCTCTGGGGACGGGACACAGAGTGCTTCCAGCCCAGGTGGGGTATTAGCCTCTCTCCTGCACGCTACAACCACAGCTTTTCATTTACTGGAATAATGCACAGGACCAAAGTCTTTATGAGAGGTGTGATAAGGTAATTACAAAAATACAGTGAGGAGGTTTTGCTTGTGTTTTTAGGCTAAACAGCTTATGTCACTAAGTATTACCTAAAGGCAGTATTAATAAGTCCTGTCACTCCCAAAGTCAAGATTAACAATTTTAAGATTTTTTTTTTCCCCTTTGCTTTTTACACATTAAGTCAAAAACTAAGTATTCTGTTACTTTCTCTTAGTTTTTACAGGGACATCCATTGCAACAGCAACAGTGTAGTGACTTCACATTATTAACTGTTTCTTTGGTTATACCTAACAAGTAAAACCATGGGGGATGTTAATTCCTGCAATAGAATTTCTTGCTCAAAGTCACTAATCATACACAATTTCAACACAGAGCTGCTCTTTAAGATCGAACATGCATCCATCCTGCACCCCTTTCATCTGGTCCTCCAAGCCATGCATACAACAAGCAGCTGAGAAAGCAAATAGAAAACAGCAAAGTTTGGAGGAAGTCTGATATCAAAGAGCCTCTCTCACTGTGACTTCATGCATGTGTAACTTTCAATCACTTTAGCAGAGGACTTGCTCCGTAAACAAGAAATTAAGTCAAATTGTTCCAGTTTAAACTTTATTTTTAAAAAGCTGAAATCTAAACTGTGTAGTCCTGGGATGGTGTTACAGTTCTGTGACATCCAGGGAAACTCCGGAACAGTGATGTCACTCTACAATGAGCCAACTGTTGAGTCAGGATATATTAACATAAAGCATGCAATCTCACGCTGGATCAAGTCTCAGAAACTAGTAATGAAAATTCCTCCTAAACATTCTTCTTAAAATCCTAAGAGAGGAGGCAAGGAGGAGAAAACAGAGTAATTAGAAGATAACTTGTAAAGCAAGAGTGAAAAAATTAAATCTGTGTAAAGGCATATATATCCCTATCCATTAGCTAGGCTAATTTGAGACTAGATGCATAAATGCATGCGCTGACAGAGGTTAAGGGCAAAACGGCCCTAGATAGTCTTGGAATACTCAGGTAAAAGAATTTGTTTAAAAGCATGGTACTGTTACTATTACAAAACACTTTACATATTTGCTTTGCTGTTTATCTTATCACATACTTAAGCTTTAATTCCTTCAAATTCATGATGGATTTTTATTCAGACAAGTGCTGAAGTTGCATAGATACTGTAACTAGTACACAGACTTGACTACTTTAAATACCATGGTTTTAACACACATCACAAAACAGAGAAAACCATCTGATAAACTCAAGGTGTAGTTCTGCTAAAAGCCACTTAAACAACACGGGTTGTTTTTCTTGATTTTAACCTGTGACCAAACGTAAGCCTTGAAGTCTAAGCTTTGGGGTTTTTTTTGAAAGAGAGAAGGAAGAATAAGACCCCTCAATCCCACTAAGGCAAATTTTCTAAGACTTGAAGCAAACTGGAAACCAGAGGTATTAAGAAAAAACCCTTAAGTATATTGTGATAAATATAGTCATGCTTTCTCCACAAGTTTGGAATTCTAGTAATAGGGGGAATGCTGGAGAAGTACCTTACAAGATACACAGCTCTTCTTATTCCATTACAGTCCTTTGGTCTTGTCACTAGGGTTTTAGGTAGATGCATAAGATGATAGCTCAGAATTACTGTTTAAGCCAAGCAACTAATTTTAAAAGAGTTCAGGGGTATCTGTTGTCTGCAGCAAACTGGTACCTCAGCTGTCAACGCCATTTGCAGACTGCATTATTCAGAGGACAATAATTCAAAACTTGGAAATACTTCAGAAAAACAAGAGTTTTTCTGTTTTATGTTGTGTACCAGGTGGTCTAGAGGAATAATTAAACTTATTAGAAATATTAACAAGTAAAGCACAAAATAGGTACAACTTAAGGAAAACAAGAATGCCATGTTCTAACTCTGACACTATAACTTGTCTGTACCCGCTCGCAGGAACTTCAGTGCGGGCCGTGTGTCATCCTGACCACATCTATCTCCAGGGTTGCATGTTGCAGGCAGAGCACAAGGCATACACAAGAAAACGCTGCCCTGTGGTATGGTCTCTTCCAACTTCATGTACCAGTGTAAAGACTGAAGTAGAAAACTTCAGACTTTGGCTGTTTTTCATCTTTTTGGAGATTAAGTGTCTTAACTTTAATGTTTTTTTACAGGAGTTAAAGTACATAAATGCCTTTACAGCTTAATAATTTGGTCTTCTGTTTAGTGTTTTATTTCAGTTGTGGAACCTCATTTTAAGTGTGCATTCTTTAAGATTTAATGCTTGCTTTTTTTCTTTTTATAGCTAATAGTGAAATCTGCAAACAAAACCAAACATCTAAATCTGGAAAAACATTAAAAGATCATCTGCACGTGGACTGTTTCGAACTAAATTGACCTGACTTGTGTTTGCAAGAAAGCACTGTTCCTAGTCTCCTCAAATTCACTGTAGCATGACATTATTGTTTTGCAGAACACATTTTTTGTGGCACCGCCCCCCACCTTACATTGAGTTTAATTGTTAGGGTTTTTTAAGCGGATCCCATCTGCATAAAAAAAAGAGACTGAAGATTTTAAATTTCTCTAATTTACAGTACATACAAAAATACTCCGGAAAAAAATCATACAACTTCATCTACAAAACCACCAAATTATAAAGAAATTACAATAGCGAGATAGCATAACATTTGTTTCATATGATCAGAATTTTCCCCCACCCCTCAAAAAACCCTAATGCACTTAACTGGGTAAGCAGTGTTACCAGTTTACAGAACCAGACTTAAGACTACTACAAGTTTTTGTGTAACCATTTAGAACAACTTTCAGGGTTTATATAAAACCACTTTCTGCAAGCCACTTGCTTTCAAGACTGCAACTTGCAGATAGGTGGTAGTGGCACAACAGCCTTGGCTGTTGCAATGTTTAAGTACATCTTCAGCTGTGTGTTCTAACTTTGGCTTTACTACCCAGGAACAAAAAGAAAAATCCTTCGAGTCTCATGCTGGAGTAGTCTTAAGAAAAAATCACATAACATGGCATGGGACATGTCATTCTTCATACTTTGGTAGCATCCTCTGCTGCATTTTCTTCAATATTTAAATTGTGCATGGGCCTCCATGGGAGGCAATACTTGTGTAGTACATGGCTATGCTAGACAGTGGAAAGCTACTAGCTGAGGCAGCTGAGCACCATTGTGATAGATGCACAGGAGTGTATGTGCCAAGCGGGAAAATATTTTAACAGAAGAATATATGCACATGAACTAGGAAAGCACAAATGAGTACAAGTACGTAAACATGTTCATACACACTTGAAACCAGAATGTGGTTGCAGTGACTAGGTAATCCTGTTTACATACATTCTGAATCCAAGTCACATGACAGGTTGTTTTTTGTGGCTTTTTCAGAATCTGTTTCTGCTAGTGACTTTTAATTCTTTTAAGAAAACTGAACTGTTGCAAAAATATGCAGAGTAGTTCAAAAGGAAGCAAACATCTAACAATACTATAAAATAAGACCATGGTTTTAACTGGCCAATTGCAGTATGGCAACAATACCCTTCCATACTTTGTTAGTGACTACAATACACATTGACAATATGGATCGCTAAACAAGTGTTCACCACCCTTTCCTGAAGAGATACCTGTTATCCATTAAGGGTGAGTTTGATGGATCTTTTAATAATACGAATACTATTTGTTGGAACAGGGGGTGAAGACTCTCGTAGTTCATCACTGGAAAGCATCTACAACAGACAAAAAGATGTCACAAAAAAAAGAAAATTTTAAATTCATTAATTCAGAAGTAGAAGCAGATAAATTCTTTCCTAGCTGAATATAACATTCTTCTTGTACTAAAACCAAATATTTACAGAGAAGGAATTTTTCACCACACCACTTGGTTAGTTACCACCAGTTTAGAGAGGAAGAGCATTTTCCCTTTTGCACACCTATTTCCTGGCATCAACTGAGCTAATTACATTCCTGAGGGGGAAGAGGAGGGAAATAAGTTGCAAGTTGCTCAACATCATAACAGAGGAAGCTACCATTCTCTTCACCTATGAGCACAAAGGCACAACAAAGAATACCTGTGATCCTGCTGTGATAATTGGAACCAGCGTAGATTTTCCTCTAAGGACGCTCTGAAAAAAAAGAAAAAAAGCCAGAAGGAATTTATTAAGCAGTATTGTCAAATTCATGACTTGAGACACACAGTGGTCTGGCAGCTAGGCTACTTAAGAACTAAAAACATGCTTGAATTGCAAACTTTCACCTATTTTTTTTTTCTTAAACCCTATAAGCACACATACAGCATTTCAGGTATTTTAACGTTCACCTCTACCAACAAGACCACATCTTACTTTGATGGTGTGCCCTGAAGAGTTTATGCTTCAGTAGCATGCTACACTAAATACAGAGCTCTTTATCTCCCCTTTGAGAAGCCAAATGCTTTGATCTTTATAGTAGTTTTAGTTTATATCAGTGACTCAAAGTGGTTTAAAAAATAAAGACTGATTTCAAGCACAGCAAGAAGCTAGATACTACCAAATCATCTAGTAGTTACATTTGAAAGATAGTCATATATGTGTAATATTTGGGAAATGAAGACTGAAATAAGTTAAACTAAAAAGCTTATTTTTGTTTACATCAATAAGTGTGGGGAGTACTTATGTGAGGTAACCTAGGCACTCAAACAGTCCGTTCAGTTTTTCAGTTAGTCCACTGAGTAAAACCACTTCAACATTACATTTTCCATAGATCCTCTCCCAGCATCTTCTGGTTTGCTACCATCTTCAGATGCTGAATCCTGGCCAGTTAACTAGACGAACAGAATACACAGAATCAAATTGCTGTATTAAAGTCAACACATTAAATGTATTTGTGGCCATTCTTAAAACATTCAGACAAGACTACCATTGCCACACAGGAATCTCAAGCCTCTCCAAAAGTCTTCTTACCCGAACCTTGAAATCCATACTTTAAATATTTAATAGTAGATAATAGTTTTGCAAGTTGATTCTTTACAAGTGTCAAAATTGAGGTTTTTTCCTAGTTATTCTTCACCTGTGCCTCAAATCAGATCAAGCCACAAGAACAGCTATTTAGGGCAATTATATAGCAATTAAACAAATAAATAATCTAATGCTTCCACAAAAACAAGATTTAACAAGTAATTCCACACTGTCATTTCAGCAGTGGACAACCTATTGAGTAGGCTGCTGATTTCTAAAGCGGCAAAACTATCAATAGATACCACAGAATCACCTGCCAGAACAAGATTAGCTCATACTTCTACATTTTTAAGACTCATATCCTCTTCATCTTGAAAATGTTTTCTGATTTGTTTTAAGAACTGCTTCCAAATGAGCCAGTTCTTTCGCCAATTGGTCAGTGTGGTAATACACAAGAACTGCAGTATTTAGAGACTGCCACCAGACCAGAAGCAGTCAATAGTGCCAAATCTTGGGGGGGGAGGGAAGTTTTAATACATTATATCCAAGACAATTTCTCAAATCTACATCCTAGTAAAAGCTTTTATAATGCTCAAATTTAGATCCCTGAATCCATTTGAGATGTATATATGCATTTCTTCTCCATTATTTAATTCATTCTACATTAATAATTAACACTATTTCAAACTGTCCCTGTCCTAGCCCACTTACCTTTTCTCCACATATTTTTGGGGCAGGGCATTCTGATGTAGGTGAAATATGTTGTTTAGGTGCAGGTTTCTTGGGATCTGTAACTGAAGTCCTACTTAATTGATCCTGTTCTTTGGCAAAACGTACTCCCAGTTGAGAAGTGGTGTTACGCCCAGGGATAGTGCAACCAATTGGAGGTCCTGATGGTCTGTTTGCAACTGTAGCCTCCATTTCTGTAGGAAACACCAAGCTTTCAGAGTTTAGCCACGAAATTAAAGACTGCATTCCACCCACTACTTCAATACCTACTTGAACCAGTAACAGGAATGGGGAGTTCCTTAGCCACTGATGGCACAGCTACATGACTTTTCTCTCTATTGCTAGCACCATTAGATCTCCGATATACAGCATTTCTGCAAAAGGCAAATGCTGGTGTTATAAAAAGCTAGTTTGTAAAATACTAAACATTTCATTTCCAGCAAATTCACATAAGACAAATGTCTTCCTTCTTAGCTCACTCTCACAGTTCTATTAAACAACAAAAACTCACAGGCAGTCTAGCACAAGATCTTAACTTTGCTTAACTTCAGACCACAAATTTAAACTTAAGCATTTTCTTTTGTGTCTATGTACTGGTACTGTTTTCCAGCTTAGTATGTCCAGCACTCTGTGCTGCTTGTAATGAATGTATCTGTTCAACGTGTACTTTTTTTTCACATGCTACTCCTACAGTACCAAACTGTTTGAACACAGCAGGCATTACACATTTGGCTGTACTGGGCTATTACTTTCAGGTTTATATATTCCTCCTATGTTAAAGTAGCTTATAGACAAACAGACTTCCCAGGAAGCAACAGACACTTTAACTGCCCGAGTTCTCATACTGCTTCACTAAGTCAGCAACAGATCTAGTGTTTCTGTGACCAAGATCAACACTTCATTAGAACTTAATACAGATTGGCACTAACCAAATTTTTTGTTAGAAAGAACAATTAACTATGCATAAATTGCTCCAGCTTCAAGTTACACACTGACCTGAAGGGATTTATATTCAAGACCAAATATTTATCCGGTATCAAATTCTTCTTCATTTCTATGTGTTCATGAATATTAAATTATTTTTTTCCAAGGATTTCTTTAACCTGTCTCCCACCACTTGCCCAATGAAAAGGACAGGTTTCTTCCTAAAGCCATTAGAGCCCTCCATATCCTTATGATCCACACAGATTCAAACAAGAAATCCTAGACCTCATTCACAATAAGTCAGTTAAAAGCAGCTTCTTCACAGTTCTAAGATTATGGTGCTAACCTTCCTGCCTCTGCTGTAGAGGTGTCCAATTTAGATCTCTTACTTAATGAAGGGGAAATATGTTGTATTCTTGAGTCCATGTCTCTACTGCTTCCCAGACACCTTCCATCTGAATGAGTTCTTTTGTGTTGAAGTGCAGTAGCATTTTGACCAATAGCTGGCATGCTTTGCTGAAATAAGTTTTTTAAAAAAATGAATTCCTCAAGTAATTGATTAAAGAAAAATAAAAATGCCAGAAGAGAAAAATTTTTATATACCTTTTTTCTTTTCTGCAAGATTTCTGCAGGCAAATAATAGTGGAGGTGCTTTCTCTTGACATAAGCTGTGTCAATCTTCATGTCTGACTTTAGCACTTTGAGGGTGTCAGCATGTCTGTAAACTAACATGAAATTTAGTTTTGTAGGTTAGTAGGGACATTTGCATTAAGTGTTTGTCAAAGTAAGCTATTGTTTCTTTAGAAACAGAAAGCCTTTAACTTTGTCCAGCCCAACAAAGAGCAAGAAGTTTCAAGCTTAACTGAACACAAAATGCTACCGAAGTACTCCACATACAGTCTCAAGATGAATGGGACCCAAGAAGCTCATTTCACATCCAGTATAGACTACATACATAACAGCTATTTAAGTTCAAATATGCATTTTTGTGCACAGTTACAGCTATGGTTTGCTAATCACATAGCTCACACTGACTTGATTTTAACCTAAAATATATAATACTCCTTAAACATTAGTTTTCTGGTTGAGAATAGATCTAGAGGACTTTCTGAATAAACCCAATTGTGCACAGTCAGGTTTTAGTGCATTTACTCATATTGTCTGAGCAAGACAACACATAGCTCACGCTGGTACTATGTTTGCACTGAAGAGTTTATACAAACATTTAAAGGAGTCCATTGTTTTGAGCTTTTTGTCCAAACACACTTGTCACTTTATTTCTACATCTATCAAAAGTAGTAATGGAAGATGAAGGTTTAGATGCAAGACTGCATGTAATCACAATGTGACAACTCACTGACTTGCAAAGATCATATAATACACAAACTTATTTTTGAAAATTACTGTCAACAGGCATTAACAAATTATTTCAGAGCACGATACAGTTAAGTTCCACTTCGAAGGTTCAGACCATTTTTGACAAGTGTATCTACACCCATTAAATGCACATCTGGCTTCACAACTGACTGTCCACTTCATGAAATGCAGTTCCTGTGTAAGTGTGCTTACCATGACCTGTAGAACTGTTATTTCACATATGGTGTATGACTGTAATACACACTTTTGTTTTAAGATGGACTGACTTTGCTGAAGTGTCAAAACAATACTTTTTAAAGCTCTCTATAGAAAGATCTAATAGCTAATAACAGAAGGAAGCACAACTCACTTTCTGAAGGAACTTTCACTAGAATAAAAAAATGAAACCTTACAAAAGCAAAAATATAGGCTTACCTGTATCTGTGAATGACTGTATAACAGGCGTTAAATCAACATTAAACTTTTCCACATTTTCTGCTTTCTTAAATTCAGTTCCAATAAACCACATTGATACATGCCCATTTCTAAAAGACAGATCCACAAATTTATAATTTATGCTGTTATTTGCATGCTAGTATCTACTCTCAAGAAAGGATTAAGCAAACAGTTTAGTTGTATGCAGCAGTTAGATTAGAGTCAGCCCGTACTCAAGTCCTCAGAGTACTTCTCTCAAGTTTTCCCTTCTTTAAAAAGCTCTTACATGTTCAGAACATTGCTTGTCAGAGCTCAAACCTACAAAACAGTAGGTACATAACTGAACATCTCTCACAGATGAGCTGATGTGAATGAGATTATATAAACAAGTTACAGGGCATTGGCCAAACCATATTTCAGAAAAAACTGAAACTCACTGTTTATGTAGTTCTTTGTGTCCAGGGAAAGACTGTGGGTTTACATGTGCAATAGTAATAAAATCATTCCTTTCTAAGTTTGCAACTAGCACACGAATTTTAGATTCAACAAGGCCATTCCTAATAGAAACAAGAGACATTTAGTCATTTTTAACTGTATCCAGCACAGTTGTTATATGCTTTTTTATAACACAATACTAATAGAAAAAAGCTAACCAACCAATAAGCAGTAAATTTCACTCAGCTGAGCAGATAGTAGATCTTTATATCTCACACGCACAGTAGTTTGAGATGTTTACATTGACTTTTGGGCTTTAAAGTTTCCGAAGACAGAGGCAAATAAGTTGAACTTGTATCTGAACAGTTTAAGTACAACACTTCAACCTATGGACCTATGATGAAAACATCAACATGAGGCAGATTCCAGCACCTTCGGCTGCCTTTTGAAATGCAGCAAAACTCCTTTTTACCTCAAAGATCAAGGAAAAGAGCAGTTTAGAAGAGGCTTGAGCACAACTGCTTAATTACACCAGAGTAAAGATGCAATTTTTCCTGCAGATGGATCAGTGAAAAGAATTTACCATCTTCTAGCCAAATTGAAAAACTTAAATTATTTAGTCAACAGTCTCATCAGAAATTCACCCAAGAAATCAGTCATGGCCACAAAGGCTTTTACTTTAAATTAAGTACTGGTATTTTACCCTTTTATCTAAACCGCTGTTAACTTTGAAAGCAGTCAGAAATCTGTACATTCTTCAAAGGTATCTTATGTTGATGTACAACAGAGATGTGCTATCTAGCCCCAGATCCATTCAAAAGTTGGTGAACTAAACTTGTTCTTATAGCAGACAAACTGAAGCAAGTTTATGTTCTGCTTTTTAGTTTCCCCAGATGCAAAACTAATTCCCACTTGCCTCCATTCCTGTTACTGTAGAAACATCAGCTTTTACTGGAGCCAGAACTTTCCTCATATTTATTATGAGACACAATAAGCTTTATTCTTTTAAAAACACTTCACACTAAAAATTATTTAGCTCTAAGCCCTCTTCCATAACTCCTTGTTGTATACCTAACAGTGACTGATACCAAGCTGTAGCTGATACAATTTTTAAGTGAACATATTAGAAAGTTCAGGTAAAAGGTATTACCTATCAGAACTCTTTTTAAACATTAAGTAAGCTGTCTTTTAGAGTTAGCACAAGAATTAAATTATTTGCCTTAAAGTGCAAGCCAAACTTTCAAATATAACCGAGGTGTCCTCAGAACAGTAGTCTGTTCCACAGAGCTATTTTGCTTGCATACTTGAGCAAAGCAGGCAAAATACTAATTTCTTAAGGAATACCATTGCAAAGGTAAAGTACTGTAATTATCATGGTGCTCTTAATTCCTTACAGTTTCCCCTTATTTCAAGATGCACAGTTGGTTAGTACATTCACATAGCTTAAACAAATTTTTATTGGCATATCTCCCTTGAGATAGTGACAAATGTGTCATAGGCAGTAATTTCCTCTAATTACAATTGAGGTGGTTCTTACATTAAGTCTCACAAAGTAGATTGGCACTCACAATTTACCTATCCACTGCCAAGCACGCTGAAGGGATCAGATGTCTGAGCACACCACTAGATTAAAACTTAGCTAATACAATTTGTCAGCATTCAGATGCTCTATGCAGACTGTCAGGTTTCACCCAGATTAAACAGCCTTGTTTTACTTCACTGGAGAAAAGTGGGCTCTGGAATAAGCTGACTACATTGCCAGAGCAACTTAGCATTGAGTGCTACCTAGTCCTAAATTAAATATTACATTCAGGAAAAAAGTTATAAAACCAAGTCTTCTAAGGCTCTAGAGCAGTGATCTTCAGAGTGTGTGTGTGTGGGTATTCCAGTGGGTGCACAAGACAATCCATTGGAGTACAAGGAAGAAAATTACTTCAGTAATGTGTATGTATCTTGTAAATAAGTACATACACATACACACACATATATATTGCAAGTATATGTTCAAAAGGGGTTTTTTTGCTGATAGGAGCATGCTATCGAAAAAGTTTGGAGACCACCAGTCTCTCTTTAAGTCAGTAAAAGCTCTCCAGTGTCAATTACACATCTGATTACATCAAGTAATCCCTGTTTGCTTCAGACTCTGCAACAAGGAACATCGTCCTAACTGAAGCATCTGACCTTCAGGTATACGCATGCTAACCCTCTTCGTTCCTTCTCAGCATGAGCCAGATCTTTAGGTTAACTTTTTTAAACAGCAAGATTTATGTTAACTTTCCTTCACTTTTTTAATTTTGGTGATGAACTGTTTACTTAACTTGGTACTGTATTCCATGCCTAGCTGCACAGTTTAATACTTAGCTTGTTAATACAGTTAAAAATAAAGTGCAACATTGAACTGAGTTTCAGATCTGTATTGAACCCACACTTAAAGCAAGCCTTACCACTCTAAGTGATGCTTTTCAGTAGAGGCACTAGTAGTCAGCATGATGTAATGTCTAGGAGAAAAGGAAAATTAATATACTAGCTCAGAACTTTATTCCTTCAAGTGAAACCAAAATGGCCTTAAATATAGAATATGACCTCCACACAAGCCAGATTATATCCTCTATTCGGCATGGTATTAACTGAAGAAAAACTGATTACATTTTAGAACTGCATTCTGCTATGTTTTAAATATCATCGATTTTTTCCTAATTAAAACAGTATCAATGGAATAAGATGTTTTTACCTACCGTATACTTAACATTACCAAATTTCATACAACTCTACCTCCAGTTTCTGAAAGAGCAAACATTAATGCCATATTCTATTGAGACCGCAAGTTAAAATTCACTATGCTAACCAGTAAACCATTTCAAGTTCAGAAAACAGATTCCATACGTACCTGTACTTCTTAAAGAAGTTTAGTGGTTCAAAGATTTTTGACCAGTCCGATTTTTCCTGGAGAATCTCATTTGTAATTTGAAGACCTACAATTAAGGTTGAAAACCTTGTTACCATTTTGTTTTTAAGACCAGCAGATAAACAAGATAAAGGTTTTCAGCAGTAATTGACAGACCAAAAAGCAGGAATTCCCTTGTCTCAATGCAGGTCTACTACAACAGTTCACTGTAAAAGTGGTCCCTTATTGCCTGTGACAGGTGTACTTCCCACAGACCTATTCTGCCTAAAAGGGTAGAAGACCTTGTGAAATATAGCAAATTCAGATAATGCTGTTTCATATAGAAAGGATTACAGTTCTCAATCAGTTCATAAGCATGGAAAGAACTTTCTTTACCACGTTTGAACTCCTCTTCCATTATTGCTCGTGTTGACATAGATACATTGTACGTGGAGTTCTGTTGCGGATAGGAAGGAGTGATGATAGGCATCACATGGTATCTGTCTGACAGGTTCACCTATGATGTTAAAACAATTTTGCTTAGCATCAGTTTAGATGTTCTTCTTCAGTTTTAGTTCTTCTTCTGCAGAAGAAAGTTTAAAGGCTTCTGAATTCAATGTCTACATACCCTAGGGTCCCACACTGGTAAATTAAGATTGCTGTCTTCAAGTTTTTTCAGTATTACAGGTATAGGCCATTCCCTATATAAGAAAAACCAGTAAATAACTGTCCATTTAAAGCTCTGCCATGTAATTCAGGGTAGGACTGAATGTTATTGATGTAAGTGTTACTTCTATATGCAAATTAAAACAAACAATATCTCTTACCATTTTGAAAAAATCAAGAAGAACTTGTTAATAAGCGTAGAAGCCAAAGCATTCGGAAACAGCTGACACGTTCTTGCTACTAGGATTGCCCAGGAAACCCCACCAAGAAAACCCAGCACATTGGAGTAAATGCCACGTCCTAGAATGGATACATTGTAGTTAGCCTGTAGTCTTTCAATACCCAAGTTCATTCCTTCAAATTTACAGCACCAACTTCACAATCTGTACAATGCTTAGTACACTTCAGCCGCAAAGTCAGTTATTTTTGCAGTGCAATGAGGCCAAAATTGTCAGTCCTTACAGTGATGGGAAAAAGAATCATTACCACCACTGCCCAAAATACTGCTACAGCTACTGCATCACTCCAGCTTCCCTTAAGAAAAAAGTTCTGCCAGTCTTCCAGCACTTACTTTAGCCAGATGTGCAAACAGTATTTTCTTATTCCTTACATATCCTTTTATACTTAACTTGGCATTCTCAACATTTGCAGTCAGGTTCATGATAAGCAATGCAGCAACTTCTCTCGTAGGCACTTTCCTCTCCTCCCCACTCTATCCCCATTAAAAAACACAGTCTCTACCACATGGACAGACCTTGAAGCAATTTTTAGTTTAAAAACTGTCCTTTAAACAGCTATCCAAAGTTGAAGTACTTCTAATGGTCTTATTTTTCAGCATGAGGTGCCTCTGAAAAGTTTAAAGATCACAATCACGTTACTCACGTTTTGCCCATAGCTTAATTGCACGGAGTGTGAGACGGAAGTTCTCCTTATTTGGCACTAGATTTAGTATTTCATTGGTAACTCTGCAGCCTGTAAGAAAAAAAGTACATAAGTTCTTAGTAACAAGTACAAGTCAGTTTTATGCTATACTGAATCAATAGCTTACAGTTTAATGTTCAAGTCTAGGGAAACAAGTATGAATTACTTGCTTACACGAGAATTCAGTATCACTTCAGGTAACTGGTGCCCTCAGCAGCTTTTTCATAGTTTAGACTACAGCAAACAATTTTTAATAAGAGCTTTCTACAGGATTCTGAAAGCTAGGTTTCTTTCAACAGCCAGGAACAATTAAACCAGCCAATGTTAAACAGTTAGCAAGTTAGGCTTCAGGTAATTAAAATAGATTTTTTTAGTGAACTACAACATATTCTTCTCTATCAAGTGCTCTGCCTATTCAACTGCAGCAGTTTCTGTGGCAAATTGGAACAACGCACACAGCCCGATCAAAGAAGCATGAAATACAGGTCTATCTAAACACACAACTCCATGGAACATCAAAATTTAAGCCCACTCACCACCTCCTTGGATCTCAAGTATACAGGAGATCAGTTTCTGCACATTGTACAGAAACATGTGTTGTGTAATGTGCATTCTACACCAATTTTAGAAACACTTTCTTTTTAAAGATGTGTAAATATACTTACCATTTAAGCTCCGTATGCATCTTATATCCAGGTTTTGCAGGCATGAGTCATCTCCAAGGTCAAGATTATCAGAAATAATTGGCATAGACAGTTTTGCAAACACAAGATCAATCTTAAAAGGGGAAAAAAGTGCCAACCATGAGTTAGGATGCTGCAGTGTTTGCAAACAACACACAAGTGAGAGACAATTAGTCAATTCCAAAAAGAGTTGTTAACAGCTGTCTTTGAAATTGTGATTATAGATACATCTCCTAAGAGATTTATTTGCCAGAAAACTCAAGAAAATTGCTAGAAGTTCTACATTTTATTTACAAAACCTTCATTGCATCACCCCTTTCTTTTTAAGCTAGGGAAAGGAAGGGATTTTTTTGTTAATTGAAAAAGATGCCCTAAACCTAAAATTTTCATTAAAAAGGAACTTAAGATTAATCATAGAATTAAGACATAAGTTCAATTGCCTTGACTATACTTCAGCAGAGAGCATTTCTTTATTCAGTAAGTCCTTTCAGTTCTGAAGTATCTCATTTTTAGTACGGTCTGAGAAAAAGAAATTATTCTGTGAATGTCTGTAGCAGATAAAGGCCACTAAAAGGTCACTGAATAAGTGTCTTCATGATAGTGATATCAAGCAGTAACTTGCTTAGGTACTACAGCAGGCACGTCTTTATTCAAGATACAAGGATTCCTGCAGCTGAAAAACCTAGGCAGAAGTCAAATGAGTACTTTTCATTTTCCAGATTGTCTCATAACTGCGTCATTTTTGATTTGCAACAAAACATTGAGTCTGCTCACATTATTCATACAGTAAGCTACACTATATGCAGCCCTTTGTAGAAAGCTAGCTCGTCAGAGCTAAGAAGAGTTGGCCAGGACACTGCCTTTACATCCCCTCTGCATCATCCTTGTGAGATAAATGCTATTGAAGTAGGCTACCCTGGCAGGTTTAGAAAAAGATGTCCCCAATGTTCTCATGTCTGCCAGGCTTCTTAGGGTTTATATAGCTTATTTTCCTATAACTTCCCATTCTACCGCAATGTTTTGTCTTGGGACAGGCTATGGTCTGACTGTTCAATTAGTCTCCTAAATATATTTTAAGATACCAGTAACCTTCCAAAATAGCACAATCACAGGTCCCTGGAAAAGGTATCCTATTCCAAATCAAGAAAAAAAAATACTCAAAGAAAAAAATTGAAATGCTTACCTCAATGTCATCAAACTCAAACTTGACAACTGGTACATATGCATCTTTAACTGCCTGTAAAGGAGAGGATAACTGTGTAGGAAAATGTCTTTTGCTACTTTAATGTTTTTCCTAAAATATGATCCAATACAGAATTTACATTGCTAAACCACTCAGCATAAAGACTGAGATGCTTCTGAACCAAAAGAATCGTTAATAAACTGCAAGAAGTATAGCACTAATATGGTACTAATATTAGCTTTAAAAAGTTATTAGCCAAGAGATTCAAAGGCTGATCATGTATTGCAATGTACAAACAGTGCATAATGAGTCCTCAGTAACAGTGGTTGTAAGGTACTACCTTGGTAGCAAGGAAGAAAAGTAAGATTTCTGTAGCTATCTTACTATTAGTTAACATCCAGAGAAATTGGAAAAATTCTGTCCACATTTGTCAGTGTGCACTAGTCTGTGGTTTTTATTGTCTACTATGCCTGAAACGCGATCAGCTACTTTATGGGGCAGTTCTCCGTTTTGTACGCCACTTGTTAGAGCAGTGCCACAGCCCACCGTGAGCATGCTTTCAGACGACAAGTCTGAAAAGGCTCATTAGCCATGCATATGAAGTCTTTCAAAATGTCTGCAGAAGGAAGACCAGGCTAAGAGAAACTTCTCAGGAGTTCAGTTTTACATGCAAGGTACACAACACATGCACCTGAGGGTGATTTTACAAAGCAGTTTGGTACATTCATAGCACAGCTCCTATTAACTTTATATAAAGCTGACAGCATGCATCCCCTCTGCAAAGTCTCAGGCTGAGTTGCCAGAGAGAACAAATTAGAGGTCCTAAAGCACATCCAGAGGAACACTATGGCAAAGGTACTGACAGAAGCCTTCCCACATCACATTCAACTTCCTTAGTTTTTAGGCTGCCCCTTCTTCCTCCTGTATGCAACTACCTTATTTCCAAGCCCCTTACTACAGCTAAGATAATGCAAGGCTCCTAGGGACAACTTTGCTTTTTGAAACAGTTGATTCATTGCCAAACCAGGGGTAGGGGAAAGGTGTACTGCAAAGATTTTTATATGATGTACAGTCAGTGGGGAAAGGAACCAAAAGCCTGACTTCAACATTTTCATGCTGCATAAAACTGTATTTTAGAAGGTGCTCAGAAACAATTTCTTGTTTTATTTTAGCTTGTAAGACATTTACTACAAATACGAGCCTTTATTATGACTATTCTTATTGTAAAAGGTGCACAGTTTATCAAGGAGAGAGCTTACTCACTCTTAGATTTTTTATTTTGTCCTGATGTTTTAGTTTTTCAAAGAAAGACTGAAAGAAATCTGATCTTTCCACATGTCTAGGAGCAACACAAACCACATCAATGTCAGCACCTGCAAAGAGATTCCATTTCTTCTGTTACTGCTGGAAGTCACTTTCAAATATTAGAACAGTAACCAAACAACAGAAGTTCTACCTTTAGTGTGTACTCCAAGCCTGTAAGACCCAAATGCAAATATTTTGCCACCAGCATTTGCTATTGTCAAAGGGGGAAGATTCTGTGTGTAGGAAAAAAAAAAGTTTACTTTAGAATATAAGATAAACATTGACCTACATACAAGTTTAACTAGCATACAAGCTATTTAGAAAGACTACAACAGCCTTTATAAACAATATCTTCTCACTCCCACAGCAAGTTGTTAGTCTAGTAGACTGATACTGGTTTTTCTGAAGTGAGTGCTTGTAACTCAAAAAAAAGGATAAGTAATGTAGTCCTTCCATTAATTTACACAAATTAAGACAATTTATTAGTCTTCCCTGCAGATAATGCATGTAAATTAGCACAATCTAAGAGCTATACAAAAAAAAAGTCTAGCATAATGTCAAACTAGATTGAGTGCTGTAGGCTGTTTGGGGCAAGATTAGTGCTCATTTACCACCTATCTCAACCCCTAGATGTGCCATTTTGGCTTTGGTAACTGCTACAAATCAACTGATAGAGTCAATTCACCAATTTATGCAGTGACCCAAAGACTTCAACATCTTGGATCTGAACTATCTTTTATACCTTATTTCAACAGCAGTTATTACAGCTCTACTCAATACTTAAGAAGCAAGTTCAGCTGTTTTGACAAGAACATGAAAAAAAAAATCCTTACCTTGCTCTCACCAAGTTCTACAATCCATTCTTTGACCAAGTTATCGAGTTTACCAAGAACAACCAACCTGTAAAGAAAACTCATGTTGACTTTGCCTTAAAATAACCAAAGAGGTTAAAAAAAAATCTTAGTCTTTTTATACCTGTGATTCATTTCTTCCTTGTCTTCAAATACTCCAAACTGCTTCACCACTTCAACTAGCTTTTGGGTATGGATGTAATCTATATCTTTAGGAGGAGCCACACTAATTGGAGAAGTAATTCCATAGTACCTTTGAGGCTGGTTCTGCTGCCTAGAGGTTTTGTGAGAGAAAAAATACTGAAGACTTCACAAAAGCAAAAATCCCCAAACTTACTGGAAAACACCCTTCAAAAAAATTTTCAAATAAATTTCTGCTCTTTTACCCAGCATTAGCATAAATGAGAAAAAAATCCTGCTTATGACTTTATCTAACTTAGAAGTCACAACTGCTTTTAAAAAAAAAAAAACAAAAAAAAACCAAACAAAAACAACAACCCAAACATTTGTGAATATAAGAAAAGATTCAAGTTGGTACCATCTTAACACAACTTATCTGCATTGCTCTAGACAGTTAGAACTGATCACTAGGAAATGAAAAGGTTTGAAAACCACCAAGGGTGACGCTACATACAGTAGAAATTTTGGACACATTTCAGTTTCATATCAGTTTTAATTTAAGGATATTCCTATCAGCTTCCTGTTAACATTAAAAAAAATTAACACCTGCTTCTTTTAGTTAAATGTATTTGCTGTGCTTCTACTGATTCTGGAAGGGCATTATAGTTGATTCTAGAGGAAGGACACATAATGAAGTAGTCTGCTAAACAGAGCTGATTCAGTGTTACCTTGTTATTGTTTATGGAACACTATGAATGAAAACATCAACCAATCTGCAGCTAGTGTTGCTAGGAAAGCCTCCTGCTCTTAACAGAGTGTTCAATTTTTATAACTCAGAGGCTTAGCTGTATATACATCTGTTTTATCTAAATTCAAGAGATGTGTCAGCATATAAAGCAGCACAAGTTAAGCTCTGTTTGTAGAGTGCTCAAATGTGGCTTAGTTAGCTCACTCCCCAGTTAGGATGAGCAGGATACCAGGCACCTGGGCTTGGAGGCCCACAAAGTTGCTGCCCCTGCAACTCCAATTACAGCAAAGGAGAATTTTCACCTCCAACCCTCTGCTTGCCCTGTGCATTTAGACTTATTTGCAATCAGAAGCAGCACAGGACTGACATGGCAGGGCAACATTGAAGGCAGCAGTAGTGCTTTTTTTTTTTTTTTAACACCATGGAATCCTTACTTCAGAAGGGCAAAAATAGAGGGGAAAAAAAACCCCTGCTTTGCATTACCAGCTGAAACCAGGAGAGAGAAAGGAGTAGGACAGGAAACAAGAATTTTTCTTAATGGATCAAGGGTCTCCACAGAAACACTAGTGGCAAAAGGGGGAAGATACATTAAAATGTTTATACAACTCATCATACTTGTTAAAGAATCCATATCCAGATCCTGAGGCTAAAGAGATTAATTGTGCCATTATTCAAACTGGGTATCTTCCTACTTCACATACGAACAGCACCAACTATTAGCTGGGTTAGTCAAGAGATGTTTAAAACTATTGGAGGTGTCTGATCCATTTCAGCTGGAACGGAATTAGGAAATGCTCAAGGGACAGCTTCAACACCTGATTTTAAAAAATACAGGTTATTACAGCTCCTTATTTCTAATTGTTGCCTTTATTCTTCCATTGAAGGAAGATGGATTTATCTTTGAGTAGCTTTACCCCACTACAGGTGGAGCTTGTAGTCATCCAGTGGGTTTCTCCCACCCCCACCTCCTCTCTCTGAGGTAATTTTCCAAACTTGCTTCTATGGGTTTTCCAGAAACCAGTGGGGTGTATCAGGACTGCGGTCCTATCGGCTAGTCTCCCCAGTCAGAACAGCTGTTTACTTACAAGTATAACTAGGCCTTAACCTAATTTGCCCTGCCTTGTTTATAGGCATTGTCAAGTTCCACTTCTTAATGAATATTTTCCTTCTTATGATATAATTTTCATAACAAATACAGAAGAGAAGCCTATGTTTAATTGCTGTGCATTACATCTAAATTAAAACACCTATAGGAGAAACTACCTACATGTTTTATGTATTATCTGCATTGTACAACTAATACTTCAGAAAGTTTGCATGAAACGAGAGTTTTAGACTTTGATAGCATTCAAGACTTTTTCAGTGTACAGGTGTCCACCATCTGCCTTTCATTATCCCATTCTTCCTACAGAGACTATCATTAGAGATTGACATAAAGGACAATTAAGAAAATCTTACTTCGCTCTCTGAAGTAGCTACCAGGCATATACAAAGAAGGGACCTCAAGAGATAAAGTAGCATACATGGCATACTACCTATTCATCCATCAGCCTTCTCTTTACATGAGAAGTCTGTTGAAGTTTAATATTTTGCCATATTTTTGACACTTTACAGCTTTACAAAGCTGTAAGCCATTTCTCCTGCATGCAACAGATAAGTTTATGCTATTACAGTTCAGGGAGCTGCCTTCAGCCATTAGTAAAGGGTATGAGCATTCACTGTGAATGCATTTCTCTGACCCATAAGGCCGGTTTGCCTTGAGCTGGGTGAAAATTTATCGCTCCAGCCTCTTCCACCTGCACCACTGGGGAGGAAAAATGACTGGGAATCAGCTCCTGAAACACCAAAACTGGTAACACAAAACCCCAGACCTGACCAACCAGATCTCCAACTCCATGACTTTCACTGAAATACCATCAGCTACACTGTTCACTCCTATCATACAAACTCATGCTATAAGAAAAAAAAGCCTGCAGACATATGATAACAAGTTAAAGTGCCTTGAACTTGACGCCGACATCCAGACAAAGCAATTTTTTTCTTCCACGTTTAAGCAGGATCCGTTTACTGGAGACCAGCAGGAAGCCTCGCAGGAGCCGCTGCCCAACTCAGCCCGGCCAGACCTCAGCCAGCCCA